TCTCGCTCTTCTTTTACTTGTTGGGAGTTTTCCCGTGTAAATACTTTTGTTTCTTTTCTCTTTTTTGGCGGTCGAGAGGAGAAGACCATGATGAAAATGTTGAGTGGCTCTTATATGCATTTCTGTTGATCTAACAAAGAGCCCATATTACTTTGTCTTTTCCTGTGTATTAAATACATGCAGATTCCAGCTTAGTCCAATGCACGTGCACTATTATTATTATCCACACCGTTCGATCATGCAAGTGAAAGGCAATAATGACGATATATGATGAACTAATTGAGATGAGAGAAGCTGGTATGAACTCGACCTCTCTTGTTTTTGTAAATATGATTAGTTCATCGTTCCTAATTCATCCTATTATGAATGAAACATGTTTGCAATGACAATTAGAGATTATAGTTGCTCATGCCATGCTTAATTAGCTAGGAGTTTATAATGGTTTACCTTACGTGCCAACATGCTATTAAAATGGTTGTGATGTGGTATGATAGGGTGTTATCCTCCTTTGAACAATTTGAGTGGCTTGACTTGGCACATATTCACGCATGTAGTTGAAACAAAATCAACATAGCCTCCACGATATTTATGTTCGTGGTGAATTATATCCTACTCATGCTTGCATTCAGTGTTGATTAATTTTAATGCATGTTCATGACTGTTGTCGCTCTCTAGCTGGTCGCTTTCCAATCTCTTTCTAGCCTTCACTTGTACTAAGCGGGAATACTGCTTGTGCATCCAACTCCATAAACCCCAAAAGTTATTCCATATGAGTCCACCGTACCTTCCTATATGCGGTATCTACTTGCCGTTCCAAGTAATTTGTATGTGCCAAACTCTAAACCTTCAAATGAAATTCTATTTTGTATGCTCGAATAGCTCATGTATCAACTAGGGCTGTCTATATCTTCCATGCTAGGCGGGTTATTCTCAAGAGGAGTGGACTTCGCTCCTCATTCACGAGAAAATGACTGGGCATCGAGATGCCCAGTCCCATGCTCTAACCAAATCAAAATAATTGCAAACAAAACTCCCCCAGGATTGTTGTTAGTTGGAGGCACCCGTTGTTTCAGAAAAGCCATGGATTGATCTTTGTTGGTGGTGGGGAGTATAAACTTTACCATTCTGTTTGGGAACCGCCTATAATGTGTGTAGCATGGAAAATATCGAGATCTCTCGGTTGTTATGTTGACAATGAAAGTATACCACTCAAAATATTATGTATCTTTATTTCAAAATCGAGCTCTGGAACCTCTACAAATCCCTGCTTCCCTCTGCGAAGGGCCTATCTATTTACTTTTATGTTGAGTCACCATCCTCTTATTAAAGAGCACCAGTTGGAGAGCACTACTATCATTTGCATGCATTACTATTAGTTTACATTGAGTATGACTGTGACTGGATCTTTTTTTACCATGAATTACAATGTTTAGTCAGTCCTTAATCTTCAGAGGTGCTCTGCATTTATGTTTTGCGGTCTCAGAAAGGGCCAGCGAGATACCATCTTGTTATATCATATTATGATTGTTTTGAGAAAGTGTTGTCATGTGAGATTTATTATTATTGCTCGTTACTTGATTATGCTATTGATATGAGTAAACATGAGACCTAAATGTTATTGTGAACATGGTTAGTTCATAATCTTTGCTGAAAACTTGAATACTGGCTTTACATATTTACAACAACAAGATCAAATAGAGTTTGTAAAAGTTTTTCTTTATCACTTTCAGTTTGTCAACTGAATTGCTTGAGGACAAGCAAAGGTTTAAGTTTGGGGGAGTTGATATGTCTCCATCGTATCTACTTTTCCAAACACTTTTGACCTTGTTTTGGACTCTAACTTGCATGATTTGAATGGAACTAACCCGGACTGACGTTGTTTTCAGCAGAATTGCCATAGTGTTATTTTTGTGCAGAAATAAAAGTTCTCGGAATAACCTGAAACTTCACGGAGAATATTTTTGGAATCTATAAAAAATACTGGCGAAAGAATCAACGCAAGGGGGCCCACACCCTGTCCGCGAGGGTGGGGGTGTGCCCCCTATCTCGTGGGCCCCCTGATGCTCCACCGACCTCAACTCCAACTCTATATATTCACGTTCGGGGAGAAAAAAATCAGAGAGAAGGATTCATCGCATTTTACGGTATGGAGCCGCCGCCAAGCCCTAATCTCTCTCGGGAGGGCTGATCTGGAGTCCGTTCGAGGCTCCGGAGAGGGGAATCCATCTCCATCGTCATCATCAACCTTCCTCCATCAACAATTTCATGATGCTCACCGCCATACGTGAGTAATTCCATCGTAGGCTTACTGGACGGTCATGGGTTGGATGAGATTTATTATGTAATCAAGTTAGCTTTGTTAGGGTTTGATCCCTAGTATCCATTATGTTCTGAGATTGATGTTGCTATGAATTTGATATGCTTAATGCTTGTCACTAGGACCCGAGTGCCATGATTTCAGATCTGAACCTATTATATTTTCATGAATATATGTAAGTTCTTGCTCATATCTTGCAAGTCAATAGTCACCTATTATGTGTTATGATCCGTTAACCCCGAAGTGATAATAATTGGGATACTTACCGGAGATGACCGTAGTTTGAGGAGTTCATGTATTCACAAAGTGTTAATGCTTTGTTCCGGTACTCTATTAAAAGGAGGCCTTAATATCCCTTAGTTTCCAATAAGACCCCGCTGCCACGGGAGGGTAGGACAAAAGATGTCATGCAAGTTCTTCTCCCTAAGCACGTATGACTATATTCGGAATACATGTCTACATTACATTGATGAACTGGAGCTAGTTCTGTGTCACCCTATGTTATAACTGTTGCATGAGGAACCGCATCCGACATAATTATCCATCACCGATCCAATGCCTATGAGCTTTTCACATATTGATCTTTTCTTAGTTACTTTTCTGTTGGCACTGTTACAATCACTACAAAACTGCTACTGTTACTTTTGCTACCGTTAACGCTACTATTATATTACTTTGCTACTAAATACTTTGCTGCAGATATTAAGTCTTTCAGGTGCGGTTGAATTGACAACTCAACTGTTAATACTTGAGAATATTCTTTGGCTCCCCTTGTGTCGAATCAATAAATTTGGGTTGCATACTCTACCCTCGAAAGTTGTTGCGATCCCCTATACTTGTGGGTTATCACCCACCATGAGCGGGTCTATTCTTCATAAAACTAGTAGTCTTGCTGATGCTATATCTTTGCTCGTGGTTGAACTTGAAAGACAATTTATCCATATGCATCCTTGCATACAGAGGATTTTTCTAGAATTTTCTAATGTTGAGCATTCTTCTGTTAAGCGAGCAGCTACCATCTTTTTAGCTCATGAGTTCAGATTTATAATAAAAGAGGCCAATGAAATTTTTGCGCATTACAGGGTGGATGCCGGCCGTCCTCCCATAGAAGCAATTCTTTTTTTCAAGAGGACATAATGCGCTTACGATCTTTAGATCATGTTGCTTTTAATGAAAACCTTAGAAAAAAGGTTCCTACCGATGTTCTTGTCGACAGGATTGCTGAACTTAATGATAATTTTGCTATCCAGAACAATGGGTTAGATTTTTCCCTTGAACAAAGGCTCATGACTTTTTGCCAAAAGAATGCTTATAATGATGAATTGGTTGTGCGTTATGAGGGGCCAAAGGAGGAACCAATACCTCCCGAGCTTGATCTTGGGGACTTTTGTCCCATTAAATTTAGCCCTTTTGATTACTTTTGCTTGCCACAAAGAAATCTTGTTGCTGAACGTAGGGAGTATGAGATGAGTTTTCGCGATTTACTTTATCAGTATCATGGCAATACCTAGATCTATTCTTTTTCCACACATGTGCTTCAAAGTAGCACCATGATCTTCATGATAGAGTGTCACTTATGTTGTCACTTTCAAATAATAGTGGGAATTTTTCATTATAGAACCTGGCTTGTATATTCCAACAATGGGCTTCCTCAAAATGCCCTAGATCTTTGTGAGCAAGCAAGTTGGATGCACCATTACTGATGCAAGGTTGCCGACCGCTACGGTCGCCGGAATCGAGCTCCATCGCTGATGTTGTCGCATCAATCTCGTCACCGTTGTTCACTAGGCTTATTGCCGAAGATGCTCCTCCTTGCAACCATGTTGTGAATGGCCGTGAGTACACGATGCATGGGTTACTACCTCTCCATGGGCCACATTTGTCAAGACAAAAGACAATCATGCGTCTGAAAGGTAACAAGAGATATTGTTTTGCAATGCGTCAAGGGTCGACAAGGAAGGATGTGGAGAGAGTTTTCGGTGTGCTTGAAAAGCACTTTGGCATCATTCGTGGCCCTACCAAGTATTGGAACTCCAAGGCCCTATGACAAATCATGACATCACGCATCATCTTGCATAACATGATTAGTGAAGATGGGAGAGACATGCCTGAGAACTTTTGGTACATCTCCAATGGGGATCATTTTGAACTGGAGCACAATGCAGACATGATACATAGATTCCTCGCAATGCGTCGTAGGATCGAGAACCGAGAGGTTCATACCCAACACCAAGATGATCTTGTTGAGTATTAGTGGCATCTCCATAGCACATCACAGTTGTGCTTTTATCATGCTCTTTACTTCATTTGAACCCTTTTGTGTGTTTGAATTTGAATAATTCGGTTTGCGAACTTTTAGGTTGTAATATTCATGAATTGTGTGAATGTTAATTATTATGTTTGGATTTAAAATGTGTGTAAATATGTAGTTGAAATATAGTTCGTAGTCTATCTGATGGCTTTATTTATAAAGTTGGGCATATGTCTTTTCTCAAAAAAAAAACAAGTACAATCTACGCACTCAAATATACACCTTTTCTGTAAAAAAAAAAACAAAGTACAATCTAGCCACTCAAATGCGGGCGTGCCACCCGGTAGTTATTACTAATAAATAAATAAATATATAACCTCCCCTTTTGTCCAAAGAAAAAAACACGATTGAAGCCTTGTGGCGTGTCGTTCATCAAGGTAGGAGCCAGACCGGTGGCGAGTAAGCTGAGAAGGAGCCTTCCCCCGGCTTCATGGGAAAGCAGTGCTCGGGACGAGCGGGCAGCAGGCAGCACCTTCCATTGTCGGCGCAGGCAAACTCGCCGGGGTTACTCTGCATGGGGAAGAAGGGCTCGTAGTAGGTCTCGTTGTAGTAGGTGCGGTCGTCGAGAAAATATACGCCCTCCTCGACACAGCCGGACGGGAAGTCGGCGCACTCGTACGCCCTCGAGCAGCCAGGGCCGACGACCAGCAGCCGGCCATCGAGGCTTCCGACCGCAGTCCAAGCGAGAGAGAACTCGGGCTTGCGGTGCGCGACCGGAGTCAGCGCAAAGAGCCGAACGCATGAGGTGGCCCCGTCGTCAGGCATCCACTCCTTGGCCACCATGAGGAGCTCGCCGCGTGACTCGACGAGGTATCCGGCGCGGGGTTCTGCGTAGTCCCGCGTGTCGCCGCGGCCAGTATAGTAGAAGACGGCGCCGCGAGTGCCAAGATCCTCTTCTGGTTGGTCGAGAACAGTGTAGACCCGGAGGTTCTCGCCCTTGGTCAGTACGAAGAAGCGGCCGTAGAAGAAGGCGATGTCCTGCGCCGACCACCCAACGCCGGCGCAGACCTCTAGTGGCTGGATGGCGATCCGCGAGCCGAGGCGCCAGAAGCAGACGTAGTGCCATTTGTCAACGCCTTTGGGTCCGTGCACGTTGAGGATGGCGCCGGCGATGCACTTCCCGTCGACGGCCGGCGCCGACGAGAGGGTCGCGGCGAGGATCATGACGGGATGGCGAGGGCCCCGGAAACATAACCTTTGGTGCGACCGGACGACTCCGTGGTCGTCGCGGACCCGGCGGCATCTAATCGAGAGGTCCCCGATGTCGATGTCGGGCAGCGGGATGCGCTCGCCGGTGCGGACGTTGAGCAGCACGTGCCCCTCTTTGCTGCCGAGGGCGAGGAACGCCCACATGCCGTCGTAGGAGCCGAAGAAACGGGCGCGGCGCGCGTCTTCCGGAAGGCCGAGGCCGTGCTGGGCGCCGCCGCTCAGGATGCAGGCGACGGACGGACCACCGGCGAGCGGGAGTAGAAGGCAGGGGAGGAGCCGCGGAGGCGAGGCAGCGGGAGCGGGCGTGGTGGTCGCTCTGTGCCACGACTTGCAGCAGGCGCCCATGTAGACGCGGCCGAGCGGGCAAGGGAGGAGGGCCTCGATATGCCGGACGATGTCATCCGGGAGTTCGTCCCAGCGCGCCGCCGCCATGAAGCGTCCGAGCAACGAAGAGTCGACGATGTAGGATTGGCCAACGATGGAACCAGAAACAATGGGAAAGCACGACCTGATCGTTGGCAAACGAGGGAACCGGAAACAAAGGGAAAAAGGACGATCTGATCGTTCTCGAGGCTGCCCCCTTCTCTCCTCTCGAGTACATGACTCGGCCTCGGGGTAGACTCCAAACAAATTACTCGGGCACAAACTGAACGTGTTTTTATTGGACACCGATAACGCGCCGACGTTCGCGCTGGGGAGGAGTCGCCCCGAACCAATCGTTCGCGCTGGACAGGGGGAACGACCGATCGATTTCGTTCGGGCCAGGAGCTCTCTCAGCCCGAACACTTCCAGAAACAAAAAACCTAATAAAGACGCCAGCGTGGGCCTCTTGCACGAGTGACAAAAGAAAAACTCTCTAATAAAAGTTACCCGAGAGTTAATAAAAATTTCCCTCTCGTTAGGGTTTCCTCTTCCTCTCGCCGCCTCTGGCGACGTTGAGAAAAACTCCTTCCCTCGCCGCCGTTCGCCGGGACTTCCCCACTCGGGCTGATTCAGGGGCAGCCTGGTGCTGCCGCCCAGCCTTGGTGGGGGCCTGACGGACGCGACGTTAGGGTTTTTTCTTCTGCTAGGGTTCTACAGCGGGGGCAACAAGATCGATCTGTGAGGACTCACCAATGCCGCAGAGATCGGGCTCGGCTACGGATGGAAGCAAGGGTGACAACCTTGATAGGCTGATGCAGGAGCTCGCCCTGAAGGAGGATGACCTTGATGATGTAGTCTTTGAGGAAGACGACGCACCTCCGGAAGAAAACCTCGGGTGGATGATCTTGGCCCGTGTCCATATGGACAAGTCTTTCAGCACATATTGGTTTTTTCGTAACATGAAGTCAGCCTGGGATCTAGCAAGGGGAGTCAAGATCAAAACCCTAGAAGACAATCTATTTATCATGCAATTCAATTGTCTAGGGGACTGGGAGAGGGTAACCCAGGGTGGACCGTGGCACTTCCGAGGGAATCCAGTGATCATTGTCCCGTATGATGGCTACTCCAAGCCCACATCCATAGAGCTCTTTAAGTTTGAGATATGGGCAAGAATCATTGATCTCCCAATTGCATACCATGGAAAAGTGAAGGCGTTGGCTGCTAAGATCGGCGAGTTTGTTGACTCAGAACCATCTTCCTTCGACTTTGAAGGGAATTTTTACAGGGTGAGAATCTGTCTCGATGTTCGCCACCAACTGAAGAAGGCAACCTCCATAGTTCGTGGGGGTCAGAGGGAGATCTTTGCGGTGAAATACGAGAGGCTCCCGGTGGTGTCAGGTATGCGGCATGATGGGGCATGAGTTTAAAGAACACGGAGATGGTGTGCATCCCCCCTCGGCCTTAGTATTCAAGAACCTAAGGGCGCCGGCAATGACTGCATGGGGAACTAGGCGCCGTAACAATGGCAAGAAACAGTCAGACCAAGGTGGAGGAGGAGAAAGCTCGGATCTGGAAAAGGATAGGAGTGCAATGGAGGGGGTGGACATGGATATGGAGGAATCTGACCAAAATCGGAAGCGCTCTTCTGATGAAGCCGCGGCTGCTGCCATGACAATGGCATCCAAGGGAAGCGTGGAGCTTGTACCTTTGGCAAACCAGAAAGGAGGAGCGGGTGCGGCCCCAATGAGCCCGCCACCAAAGCAAGATCCCAAGCGATCTAAAATGATGCAGCAGTTAGAGAAGGGGGCAAACACGGGGCTGAGGAAGAACCAGGCGGCACCCAAAAACCAAGATGCAACAATGGCGGCCTCCTCGTTAGAGGACCGCCGAGCACAATGAATCTGTTAAGCTGGAACTACCGGGGATTAGGCAACGCCCCGACAGTTCAAGAATTGCGCGAACTCACGTTAAAGTTTGCCCCTAGAGTACTTTGTATTTTGGAAACACAAATTAGCCAAGAGAGAGCTGAAAGTTTAGCAAGTACTCTAGGATATGATTGTTCTTTTGCTGTTGGATCCACCGGTCGGAGCGGTGGCTTAGTTTTGTACTAGAACAATGAAATAAAATGTGAAATTTTAGGTTACTCGCAGTATCACATAGATGTCAAGGTGTCGGGTCTGGGAGGGACCCCGTGGAGGCTCTCGTGTTTCTATGGAGAAGCCCAGACACACCTAAGACACAGAACTTGGGACACAATGAAGAACCTGGCGTCGCTACAACACATGCCGTGGGCATGTTTAGGCGATTTCAATGAGGTCCTTCGATATGATGAGCATGATGGTGTTGGTCAGAGAAGCCAAACGCAAATACAAGGTTTCCGAGATGCGGTCGATGTTTGCGGCCTGATTGATCTTGGCTTCCAAGGCCAGAAGTGGACGTTTGAAATGAAAGTTACAGGAGGTATGTCGGTGTCAAAACCGGCGGATCTCGGGTAGGGGGTCCCGAACTGTGCGTCTAAGGCGGATGGTAATAGGAGGCAGGGGACACAATGTTTTACCCAGGTTTGGGCCCTCTTGATGGACGTAAAACCCTACGTCCTGCTCGATTAATATTGATGATATGGGTAGTACAAGAGTAGATCTACCACGAGATCAGAGAGGCTAAACCCTAAAAGCTAGCCTATGGTATGATTGTATGTTGTAGTTGTTGTGTCCTGCGGACTAAAACCCTTCGGTTTATATAGACACCAGGGAGGGTTAGGGTTACACAAGGTCGGTTACAAAGGAGGAGATATCCATATCCGTATTGCCTAGCTTGCCTTCCACGCCAAGTAGAGTCCCATCCGGACACGAGACGAAGTCTTCAATCTTGTATCTTCATAGTCCAACAGTCCGGCCAAAGGATATAGTCCGGCTGTCCGGAGACCCCATAATCCAGGACTCCCTCAGTAGCCCCTGAACCAGGCTTTCAATGACGATGAGTTCGGCGCGCAGTATTGTCTTCGGCATTGCAAGGCGGGTTCCTCGTCCGAATATACCACGGAAGAATTTGAATATAAGGATAGTGTCCGACCCTGCAAAATAAGTTCCACATACCACCGTAGAGAGAATAATATTTCCACAAATCCAATTTGCTAACTCGTTTTGGCAACATGACATTATTTCACAGCCCGGTGATTATTCAAACTTTTTCCTTTAACTAGCCCCACACATAACGCGAGGCAGTTTTTTGACACGTCTTGTCGAAGCAGAGATCATGTCCCCTTATCACGGGATTCTCATCAATACGGGCATGGGTAACGCAACCACGCCATCGATTACGGCGCTTGGAGGATAAGCGAGTTTTACCAGGCTAGTGGGGACACTTAGTTTCGTCTGCCCATATAAAGGGATAAGGATTCACCTTTTCATCCACACCTTCCTCCTTTGCTCATCCGTTTTCGCACACTCGAGCTCTAGCGCCCAAGTTCGCACTTCTCACCTCAACATTCTCCAGCCATGTCCGGAGGGGGAGGCAGGTGGATGGTCTCCTCCGTCACGGAGGGAAACATCAAGAAGCTGAGGAGAGCCGGATACCTGCCCGACGACATCGCGCACCGGCTCCCAGATGAGGGGCAGCTCATCCCCACCCCGGGCCCCATGAGAGGGTAGTGTTCCTTACCCATTTCTTCTGCGGACTGGGATTCCCTCTCCACCCATTCGTTTGAGGGCTCATGTTCTACTACGGCCTGGATTTCCATGATCTGGCCTCGAACTTCATCCTCAACATCTCGGCGTTTATCGTTGTGTGCGAGGCCTTCCTTCGCATCAAGCCCCACTTCGGCTTATGGTTGAAGACCTTCAATGTCAAGCCGAAGGTAGTGGGCGGCCGCCAGGCGGAGTGCGGAGGCGCCATGGTGGGCAAGATGCCCAACGTTACATGGCTCGAGGGATCCTTTGTGGAAACCATAAAGGGGTGGCAATCGGGGTGGTTCTACATCACCGAGCCGCGTGACCCTGCATGGGCAGCGGCCCCTGAGTTCCGATCTGGAATCCCCACGCGGCTCACCTCCTGGAAAGAGAAGGGCCTGTCCTGGGGTAGTTCGGGAGAGCTGACCGGACTCCAAAAATGTATTCAAAACATGGTGAAGCTCGACCAGCTGCTTTAGCTGGTCGCTCTGGATCGAAACTTGGGCCGTGTAGGGAATCCGGATCGAAACTTGGGGGCCGCCGCCCATTTGGCGTCGCGCGACTCGGTGATGTAGAACCACGCCGATTGCCACCCCTTTATGGTCTCCACAAAGGAGCCTTCAAGCCATATAATATTGGGCATCTTGGCCACCATGGCTCCGCCGCATTCTGCTTGTTGGCCTCCCACCACCTTCGGCTTGATATTGAAGGTCTTTAACCACATGCCAAAGTGGGGTCGGATGCGGAGGAAAGCCTCACACACGACGATGAACGCCAAAATGTTGAGGATGAAGTTCGGGGCCAGATCATGAAAGTCCAGCCCGTAGTAGAACATGAGACCACGGACTAATGGATGGAGGGGAAACCCCAGTCCGCGGAGGAAGTGGTGGAGGAAAACTACCCGCTCGTGAGGTTCTGGGGTAGGGACGATCTGCCCCGCAGCAGGCAGCCGATGCGCGATATTCGCGGCTAAGTATCCGGCTCCGCGCAACTTCTTGATATGTCCCTCCGTAACGAGGAAGCCATCCATTTGCCTCCCGCTTCGGACATGTTTGGAGAAGGTTGAGGGAAAGGATGTGGACTTGGGTGTTGGAGCTCGAGTGCGTGAAAATGGATGAGCAAAGGAGGAAGAAGGCGTGGATGAAGAGGTGAATCCTTATCCCTTTATATGGGCGGGCGAAACTATGCGTCCCCACTAGCCTGGTAAAACTCGCTTATCCCCCAAGCGCCATAATCGATGGCGCGGTTGGGTTACCCACGACCGTATTGATGAGAATCCCGTAATTAGGGGAACACGATCTCTGCTTTGACAAGACGTGTCAAGAAACCGCCTCGCATTATGTGTGGAGCTGGTTAAAAAAAACGGTTCGAATAATCACCGATCCATGGCATGATGTCTTG